TCTCTTATTATATATCTCAGAATTAGATTGAAAAAAAAAAAAAAAGAGTGCATGGGAAGATTAATTTCAATTGTTGGGGTAGCTAACAAAAAGAAAATACAATTGTTGTTTGAAGGCAACCATATGTAAGAAAAGAAATGTTTAAGGACAAGGAGACTAGTGAAAGCTAATTTCCCTTCAGATAAAAGAAAAGCACCAAAACCACACCCTTGCTAGTCCTTTTCTTCTTAAAGACACTAATAAGATCAACTTCAACTAGGTAATACAGATAATCATCTCAATATAACCCTTCTTCATGATCAAGATATTTCCGAGCTACGCAACCACATAATAGCCAAAAACTGACCAATAGTTTGCTCAAAATATCATATCCAATGCAACTTGTATTAGACACAACCATCCAGCTCCAACTCAGTCACAAGAAAGAACAGATATTATTCTTTTAGATATCTCACAGAATGTAATACTTCTCCCAAATCACAATCAGGCCATACCATAGCTTGAAGAAGATAAGTTTCATTCTTCTAAGCTCAGAGTAAAGCTAATATACACATTCTAGAAGACTATGGCAAAACTAGGACCTTCACATCAACATTACTGCATAGATTGAAATGCCATAACCTAGGTTTCTAGAGCACCATTATCATTATATCATCACCAGTCATGTTTCAGATCACTAAACCATTTCAAGTTTTCATGGCTTGATCAATGTCCAAAAATGGTACAGAATAGCAGTATTATCATTTATGAAGCTACTGAATAAGTAAACAATAAAGAATATGCACCATAGCAGACAACTAACATCACAAATAAAGCAAAAAGAGCAGAGCTGATATATATAACATGGGAAATGTAACATTCATAAGTAAAGGTAAGCTCATTTATCGTACATACTTGTTCTGTTACACAGACTACAGACCCTTTATTTCTTCCTCCCGCTAGCCTGGAGCATCATCCTCTTCAAGTTGCATACTTAGACACTATCACCAAAAAGCAAACATTCACAACAATGGAAAAAGACATATCACACAACATAGAAACATATATGCAGCATGCAGAAATGTGAAGACCCAACATGAGTATTTTCTCAGAATCTCACAGACCCATTAGCCAGTTCCTTCTCAATAGCACTCTTGGCAGTCTCAAGATCTTCGTCAAAGAACATATCCCAGTGCCCATCCCACTTGATGAAGAACTCTGTGTCTTCATAATACTTCACCCTGTGCACATCCCCAGCCGGTGTAAACAAGTAATCCCCGTCAACCAAATCGTACCTCGCCTCTTTAGTCAAATTCCACACACTCTTCTTCCCTTTTGTTACAACCAAATCATGTCCAAAAGTATGGTGATGTGCCGGCTCCACGCTTCCTGCCTTAAACCTAACAAAAGCAGATGTGGGACTCTCCCTCAATATCTTCATTGATCCACCCGGAATCATATCGATGGGATTCAGTTCCCTGTTTTTCACCAGGCAACAGATAGCACAAGAATCGACTTCTGATTCTTGTTGGGCACCGATTTTTGGCATGTCAACAAGCGATTGATCGAAGAAATCAGCAATTTCTTGTGGCCAGGGCTGAGACCCAGATGCAGGGCAGGGAGATTTGAAGGGGGTGTCAAGCCAAGTTGTGAGGATTTCAACTGCTTTCTCCACGGGGGTATACTTCCCAGAGAGAGCGAGAACATTGCAGTTGTTGATGGAACGGGTGTCGTGGGCATCAGCAGGGTTTGTGCAGGTGGTCGCGTAAACGCCAGGGAACTTGTTAGCAAAGATGGCCACACCGACGCCGGTACCGCAAGCCAGAAGGCCGCGAGTTTCAACCTTGGAATCAGCTGAAGCAGAGGAAGAGACGCGGCGACCTACCTCCGCGCCGACGTTGTAGTAAGAGGTGGTACCGAGGTCCTCGACATCAACGTTGAGAGAGCGGAGGTGAGCGACCATAGCATCCTTCAGTTCGGCGCCGAACGAATCCGCCCCAGCAATGACTTTGAGGGGACGAGTAGCAGTGGTGGCGGTGGGCTCAGCCATGGTGCGACGGTGGTGTGATGTAGCAGGTGATTGATTCTTTGGTGGCAAACGAAGCGAGCAAGATGGCAGTCTAATCTATAGTCATCTGATTTGACTCATTTCTTCAATTATTGATTATTTTACTACTATCAAAGGAAAGAATCTTTTCAATTTTATTTTTTGATATACTTTTAAAGAGTATATAGATAAGAATAAAAATTAAGATATTTTA